CGAGATTGAAATTGGCCAGTTTTGAAGTTTTTGCAATACATATTTGGTTAACTCGATTTTAGTTAATTAAACTGAAACATTCATTGCAATAAAAACTAATTTAACTTACCACAATGTTGGAAAATCTGCTTTTTTTTTGAAAATAGCTTTATATATATATATTTATATAATAATTACTTATAAAATTATTAAGGTATACTTTATATATCAATTTATATAGCAAATTTATAAATCTGTATTTTTTAGTGGGTATTGTAACTTGTATTTTATGCTTGATGCTGTAAAATTAGCTTCGAAAATTTTGCAATCTTAGCGTATTTAGTTTTTTTTATGTGCCTCAAAGTTCAGTTCTAGGTTCATTTATAGCCAAACATATCAATGATCTTGTCTCCAAAATTTGAAGCTGAAGGTAGTTATCTTGTTTTGCTAAGATCCTCTATTAGTTTTGAAACCCTCATGACATAAGAGGTATTTAGCAGTTGTCAATCTATTAGCACAGGTATCAATCCCCTGCTATGGCAATGACAGTGCGCGGACAAGCTCTCACTTTGCCTTTAGCTTCAGGGCCACCGCAGCTGATCAACTTTTGGCTGCGATAGTGGTACCACCTGAAAATTTTAGAGGCAAGAAAACTACATTGAGCCTTAAAAAAGAGCATTACTCGACAAATTAATTCAGTATGGATTGTTGTGAATTAGGAGAAGCTGATAATGCTTAGATAGGCTGAATAGCATTTCATAAATCACCTGCGAGTAGCAGAAAAACAAGTTTCTTTTTTTTTTTCAAAACTAACAGATTGTTATAAATTTAAAAGAATATCTTTTTTTCCATAAATGCAATTTTTACCTGTTTGTTTTGTGGAATCATTTGTCTTCAAAGGAACCCGTAGAAAATGAATACAAAACCGCGTCCCTACTGAATTTCTCGACGCGGCCCAAAAAAACTACAAAAAAAGGTATTTGTAGTGTTCTGCGGGTGCTCGGAAAAGCAATTTGGTCGACCTAAAAAGGTTGAAAAAGTTTCGACACAATTCGGAAAATCCGCATCCCTTTTGAGAAAATCCTAGATCCACCCCTGTTCTAAATATAATAATTGGCTTTTGCTAGGGGTCATTGTAATTTGCATTGTATCTTTGGTTTCATTATGTACCCTTGAGAATTTTTTGAACTTATTTAAATAATTGGCTAATCAAGTTAACGGGAGCTTCAGCAGTAATTAACTCAATCAGAGATTGCAGATCTGCCATTAGCTGATGACCCGGTTAGAAGAAAGTGATTATTGGTCCATTATTTGATTTCTGAGAGAGTGCTAACCTGAAGAAGAGTTAAATTAGAGCCCCCTACACACATGAGCAGTTTTATTAATGAAGACAAATGTCAGTCACCATTTGAGAACCTCAATTAACAACCGTTACTAATAACAAAAACCAAAATCTGGGCTAAAAGTCAGATTGTATCATTTAATTATCCTTAATGAAATAATAGATTGTTTCCAATATAAGTCGACTTTCATCAAATTTATTTCTATAAGTAATCATCTAAGAAGAAACCGGTCTGGAAGATCGTAATTTAACAAAGTAATGTCTGTTTTAAGAGGTCTCTAAGCACAAAAAAGACATTTAAGATAAAAGATACACTTGAACTATTAATAAATGATCGATCAAATTTATCAGTTGTAAGAGCCATCACACCAAAAAGTGGTTGATGACATTTTCATGTCGTTCAGGATGAAGTATTATTATGCATTAGTAAGCTACAGCTTTTTTGGTGGCTTGACCAAATGCACATTTTTTGCTTTTTTTCTAACTTAAGAGATAAATTGAATTAGTTTTTTATTTGCTAATTGTCGCTTCTACCAAAAGTTGCAAGTTGTCTGTTTTTGCGCACTATTTTTTGATTTGAGTTGTTGTATTACGGTTATAATACAGTTTGATTTTCGGTTGACTTTCGAAAAGAGAGAGTTTTCCATTAAAATTAGCTCTGTTTGATGAGAACTCCGTTTTCTATGTATATTTATTGGGAAAAAAACCTCATTCAATTTCGATTATAAGTAACTAACCTTTCAACCTTTCAGGCAAAATATTTAAACCGCACTTATTTCAAACATATCTTGCGAAAAAATGCAAAATTTGGTTCAAAATTGGGTCCAAACCTTCTCGAACCGATTGAAAAACTTAATGAAATGCTAAAAAAAAAGCTAGATGACCGGCTGCACTTCTTCTTTTTATCAAAATTACATTTACAAAAACCCATTTTTAAAATTGATTCAGCTTATATGGGAGCTATTTGACGTCATTTAATTTGATTGGTTTTACATTTTGATGGATTCGATTTACAGTTACAGAAATGTCATAGACCCTTTAAATGCCCGGGTTGTCCTACAATTTCCATACATGATAAAGTGCTTATCCTTTAATTTCCTATAGTTTCATAGATTCAGAAAATTGTAAGAAAACTCTAGGATAAGCATTTTTTTCATGTATGGAAATTGTATGATAAACATTTTTTCATATATGGAAATGGTACGATAAGCATTTTTTCATTTATGGAAATTGTATGACAAATATTTTTTGAAAACTCAAATGACAATCAAAGCAGACAATCAAAGAGCAAACTAATTGATATAATTTCACAGAAGTTGGTTCGGAGAGATTGATATAAATTTCAATGAAAAATTCTTTGTCATTTTTTAAGTCAAAGTTCATACCACAATTTTGACTTTTGATCTTTACTGGTTGGTTTGGTGATTTTCGGTTGGTTTGGTGGCAATTGCGCTGCATTAACTCTTTTTGATAGCAAACTTTAAGGCACAGCTTTTTCAGCGTCGAGACATAATTGCTGCTCAGATTCAAAAATCAGTTTAATAATGACACAAGAATCATGTTAAATAATGGCAAGTAAAATCATGTTGGCGTTAAGTTTTAGACATTCTAATCAACTTGGCGTTAAAAAGGTATAAAATTTGGCAAGATTAATCAGTTTATCTCAAACCATGAACAAGATTGCTCGTATCAGGGTGAAGCCCTGATTGTTCCGACTGCCTTTTAAGGTCTATGAAGCAGTAATAACGTGGAAAAATTAAAGTCAAAATAAGAAAAAAAAGATAACGAGGCCAAACTGTGATTTTGTGAATAGTAAGCGGATTCCTCGACAGGGACGCTCCCTTTGTTCTTCTTTTGTTCTTTCATTTTCTTTGATTGTTCCGCAAAATTGAGAAAGTTTGAAAACTAGTCTGTGGAATCCAGGAACATACAGACACAAAATTGTGCGCCTATCTAGTGCACAGTTTGGCCTCGTAATGAAAAAAAATGAAGAAATTTTTTCCAAATTTGAGATTTAAGAAAATGATTCTCCCACACGCCATATAAAGTATAAAGTGACCGATTTCGCTCCCAGTAACAATGCAATGATGGCAAATAAGCTTCCTTCACCCAATTTTAAACGATTTCTAAGACGGAATATATCTCCGCTTACGCTTTAATAGCGAAAAATATGTCGCCAAAATGCCAATATTTAAACCCCATAACTTTACGAAAAAAAGATCACAAATAAAATATCTTTTTCAAATTAAGCCCAGAACAGCAGTACCTTTTGAATGATATTACAAAAAACTCCGTCAAAAATGGCTAGTTAAAAAGTCGAAATTTGTATGAAGAAAAAAACCCACCCTGAGCACAAATATTCCGTTACTTTCGTTACGAAAGTCGGAACAACAAACTCTTTTCAAAAAACTTTTCTGGAATTCGCAGAATTATTGAGAAATTTTCAATATTGACTTGACTTGTTGATGTGATACTACAGTTGACTATGCGTTGAAAAAATACGACTCAAAAAATTTTTCTAGTAGCGCAGCTCACGAACAAAAAATTCTCGATAAACTTTTTATGAGAGATGGCGACAAAAATCAACGGTTATTTGCGTGGCTGTGATTAGACGTGGATCTCAGACGACAACAATACATGAGTCGACAAATCCCTGATATCTCCCTAAAAGATGAAGTTAAGAATCAACTTAAGTTATAATTTAACTCTAGCCCCTTTTAACTGGCTGATCGCCAAAGATTTCAACCAAATTTCTAAGTATTTTGAAACAAGTATTTATCTGACAAACACTGATTTGCATGCACAAATCCACCCGCAAAAAGCTTTGGCGTCTGAAAAACCCAACATTTGAATGCCCTTGCTCTGTTAAATTTATCAAAAAAATCATAAAATTATATCCTTTTTGCATTTTGTTCGATCACGAGTTACCTGCCGCCCTTAAGGCGCGTGGAAGGAAGTTCGGTGCACAATTGTACGGGATAAACGGTAATATCGTTTTAAGCCCTATGTTATGATTTGAATTTAAAAAAAAAAGAATTCAAAAAAAGTTGTCTCATTTTTGAGGACAACTAGAATAAACATTTTCGGTTTCCAAACAAATTTAGACCGGCAAATTGACGAGGGGCTAATTTTTCCAATCAACTTTACTGCAGTTTTAACGTTAGCTCGACGTTATTGCCTCTCATTATTCCCGCAAGTTTCAGCCTACTTTTTTGCCGTTCAAAACAAAAAAAAAACAGGAAAATGGAAGAAAAACTGGAACAGAAAAAAATATATTTTTGAAATTCAAAAAACAATCAGTGGCTCAAAAGTATAACCGAGCTTCTGAAAGAATCACGGTAATGAAACATACCCTGCTAATCCCGGGTAATAAAGAGGTTAGCTTTAATCTACAAAAATTTATATATATATCTGTATTCAGCATGTAATAGGTTAAAAAATAGAAACGTTTTCATCCTTAATCTGAGTTTAAATTATCTTTTATTGATATCATCCAAGGTAAAACCTGAGTATGTTTAATCTTTTTTGATCTTTTGGAATTTAGCTCAGATTAGTTTTTATTCTTTCTTATTTTAAGAGATAAGAGACGACGGCCCTGAATTATCTTTAGAAAAACATTCGCTGCTTTTTTTAGAAAACAAATAATCTCTATCAAGATTTAATTAGATTTTCTTAGCAAAATAACATCAAACAAGAAACACTGAAGTAACTTCTTGAAATCTAGATGACACAAAACATTTTATTTAATCATGATACTAATTCAATTTAATTTGTATGACTAAATTATGGCTCTCAAATGATTGTTCTGGGACTTTCTGCGGATCTTGTTAGGGAATAGGGGTTTCCTTACAAGGTACAAAAATCGTATATGCTTAATTTTCAATTCTTGGTAGGGAGAAAAATGCAACATTCGTTCGTTAAAATGCACCATAGAGGAAAAAATAGTTAACAAGATCCTTTTGAGCTGACTTATCAAAGATATGACATTCTGTAGTACAATTTATTACAAAATAAACCTCACCAACAATGCACTTTTATTGCTGTTTATTCATTCAGTAATAAACCCTGTGTATTGAATACCCACGTAACTCAAATCAAATAAACTAATTAATTACAGTCATTTTGTTTTAGTATAATTTTTTGACAAAACATTTTATTTTATGGTAAGAATGGACATATAGCACAAAATGATAATTTGTTAGCATTGTTTTTCAATTTTGACGGTTGTTTTATCGGTAGTTAATTAGAATGTTCGGAATGTTCAGAATGTTCTGGAATGTTTTTGAGCTGCACACGTTATGACCTTTTTAGCCAAAGAACCTTCTTCGGACTTCACTTTTGAAGTAGCTGCTCACCCAAAATTGAATGAATAAGGGTTGATCACGAAGTTTCAGAATGTTTTAGAATGTTCTAGAATGTATTTGAGCTGCACAAGTTATGACCTTTGCAGCCAAAGAACCTTCTTTGCACTTCACTTTTGAAGTAGCTGTTGACCCAGAAATGAATGAAAGGGTTGATCACGAAGTTGAGCAGATACAGGGTCTGAGTTATAGTTCTGATCAAGTCGAATTGTCCATTATCGAGCAGGGCAAAAGTGTCAATCACATGAACGATTATGTCAGGTGTCATAAGTGTGACGTAAGCGATGGTCACAGTTACCAGGGTCGTGGTCAACTTTCCGTCTCGATGAACTCTGATGCTTTGTTTAGGAGTCGCCCCTAGATCTTTTGATGACTTCACTTTTTCGCCCTTGTCCGTCCCCGAACTGCATCCCTGGGTCAAAACACAAATTGAAACGACAGCTGTCATTTTTTCCTTGTCAGCTGCGTTGTTGTAGAATTTCACAGCCCCTGATGTCATCGCCGGAAATGACGTCAGCTTGCGCATCCTTCTAGAACGTTCTTTCATGCTGCAGAAAATCTTAGGATACACGTATATCATGGTAGCAGCGTTAACCAGCAGCATTAGAGTGCGAATTAGAACCCAGAGTAGCTTCAATATATCGATATCTGGAGTGTCGTAGATGACTTCGTTACACGGACAGGGCAGCATGTCGCCGGATCGAAACTTGACACACATAAGTAGTCCCAAAGGACAGTTGAGAACTGACACGAGGATGCAAAACAGCAGAATTAGCACCGTTTTTTCGTCAGCAAAAACAGTTCTATACGAGTGGGGGTTGCAAACTGCGAAGTACCGATTGATACACACGATTAGTGTGAGAACGGCCGAAGCAGTGTTCACGGTATCAAACGCGAAATTCCCCGCCGAGCAAAACCAGAAGCAATTCTTAGGGAAAAGATAATCTTTAGAGCCAGTAAAAAATATAGAAAACAGACACATAAGTGTGTCTAGAACAGCCATTGTAACGATGAAAACTTCACTTGGTGATTTTTCTCGTCGGCCTTTGTAAATGATGACGACAAGAATGTTGCCGATTATTCCGATGCAAGCAATTGTCCATTGAAGGGGTAACAGAATAGCCGAAGGGTCAATTTTATCAAGAGAGGAAAAGTCAATATCACTAAAAGTTGTGAAATTGGAAGCATTTGAAGACCCTCTGTCAAGATAATCGTAATCTGAGGAGTTGGAGTGATCAGGAATTGGACAAGACATTCTCGAAAAATTTAATCAACTTATTCGAAACTAGCAGCGTCAAATCTCAGGTAAACTGAAAAGAAAGCACGAATTAGAATTGAAAACTTGAGTTATATAACTTCAAAGATAATAGTGCTTTTGAAGCTATAAAAAATATGTTTCGGTCAGATCATTTTTTTGAAATGGTGAAGTTGAAAAGGTTTGTAAATCAAGCACAAAAAGTTATGACCATGACCTGTAAAGTGAACAGTAAGTGGGAGAATGTAAGTTATTTGCCAATTGAATCACATGTGTCGTCAACTTGTTCGCCGTGAAAAGTTTGAGTCAATTTGACTAAGTTGTTCAACTAAGAGCGGTTGCTTTAGTTTTTTTTCTTCTATAAATTTTCGGTATGAATGATTGAGATATAGCCTGATTTTTGATTTAGAACTTGAAATAACTGAAAAAAGGTAGCTTCGAATTGCGAATTGGTATAAAAAGTAATTACTTCTACGGTTAGCTTCGGAGGTTTTGATTGGTTACAAAGACATTTTTTTTTAAATATAAACGAAATGCGCTGGGAATTGCAGTAGAAAAACACCTAAAATTAGATTGGTTAATTTTCTTTAGTGCCAACACAGATACGCCATTACAAAAAAAGTCATCAATCAAAAAACGATTCTTTAACAAGAACCTTTTCTCTGACTTGAGAAGTTTTACTAAGGTTATAAAAAATAGAACAAAAAAGGCAAAAAAGTTACTCTTCCTTCTGTTGAGTTTTCAATGACATTATATAAAAATTTCCCGATAATGGATAATATTCCGATAAGAAAACTCCAACTCTTGTTTATTCAATAAAAAAAGCAAAGAACATTCTGCCGAGAAAAGACACAATTGTATTACGAAAATGAAATCTTCAAAAAAAATATGATGAATTAATTACCATAGAATTGTGTGGAAGGAATTATAGTATTGCGTCGGCCTAAAAGTTCAAAATAGCTTATAGAAAAAAATGTCCTAAGAAAGTTCATTTGAGGGCATTGGTAACATTCAGGCCTTTACCCTGACATACTAGGAGCAGACTTGTTGTGATCTTATGCTGAAAAAGAATTACTTTTTACTGATCTTCTCACGACGATTATATCATTGTTGAAAATATATTTTGGCAAATCAAATCAACCTTAGACGTTTAAACGACGCTTTTTTCTGTCAAGCAATCAGTTGATTGCTTGACAGAAAAAAGCGTCGTTTAAACGTCTAAGGTTGATTTGATTTGCCAAAATATATTTTCAACAATGATATAATCGTCGTGAGAAGATCAGTAAAAAGTAATTCTTTTTCAGCATAAGATCACAACAAGTGTTCCTCAAAAACACCAAACAGAACAATGTTTGTGTTCATCTTGAACTGAATAAAAACAGTTTTAGAACTTAACTTTAAAACGGTTATTGACTCCCATTAAAAAAAAAACTTTATGGCAAAGTAAATTTTGGGCAAAACAACTTCTTTCGAGGGTAAAAAATCAACAACTCATAATTTTATCCTAAAACCAGGGGCAGATTTAGGGGTGGGGAAGGTTCGCCATTTTTCCTCAGGGATTCGACACCCCCTGCCTTCTCAAAGGTTCAGTTTTTGGCTATCCAGTTTTGGCTGACTGTCCCTAAAATTTTTATAAAGGCGCCTTTGCGCCAATATCTACTAATTGCGCCAATATATACTAAAGGGGAGAGCGCGCCGAAAATAACGCGAATTTTTGATCAAATTTTTTTCGAAAAGTGCCTAAAAACGCCTTTTGTGGCCTGTTTTTTTTAATTGACTGAGGCGCAGAAAACTTTGTCAGAATAGGGTCTTTATAGGGATTTGGAAGAGCTCAGAAAATCAATCTGGATGATCTAAAAAATTCGCCCCACTTGAGAAAATCCTAATTCCGCCCGTGCCTAAAATTACTATCGGATTCAAAAATTCAGAAACCTACCTTACAGTTTATAAGAAAAGCAAATTTGCAAAAACCTGGCCGAAATTAAATTCTTCTTTTACGAGCTCAGGATGTTAGATCCCACTTTCGAACAAAGTGAGAATACACAACCTCGGGGTCGTGAGGCGAAAATTCGTATCAGGCGACAATTTGTAACAGGCTACAATTCGTAACAAGCGACAATTTGTAACATTAATTTAAGAGGCAAACACTAATTTATGCGCACTATTCTTCTCGCTTGTTACGAATTGTCGCCTGTTACGAATTGTCGCCTGTAACGAATTGTCGCCTGCTACGAATTGTCGCCTGATACGAATTGTCGCCCGGGCAGGTTTTTGTTCAGACAAGTTTCATGACACTCTTTGCTTTTTCGAGAGATCGATGCTTGAGGCGTTAAGCTAATTGGTCCTAATACATTTTTTCAAAAATCAGTTTTTTGCAGTTATTTTACTCTTCTACTGTAGCCCATTTAAATACGTAAACTGATCTAGAATGGGTTAAAAGGCGCTTTACGTTCGAAAAAATATATGATTTTGCCTAAAAAAATAATGTAAATGAATTTAAACGGATTTTTGCAAGACAGTGATTCAATTCAAAGTCATCGAAGTCAACAAAATTGATTCAATTCAACTAATCGTTTTTTTCCCAAAAAGCTAGGCAAGTTTTTGTATTCATGAAAATCTCCATCGGATACACAGAAAGCGAGAGTCACTCGAGACAAGACAAGTCTTTCATCACAGACTACTGCGTTCAAAGGATTACCTTTCAAGTTATCATATCAAAGGGTTTCATTGATAAAAAACGTTGCGAAATTTCTCCAAATGTCCTTTTCATTATCATCGGCCCAGGTTCAAATTTGTTAGGCATTTAACGTATCATTGGAAAACTCAAACTAAGAAAGTTCTTATTTGGTGCAGAAAACTTACTTATTAACTATACTCATTTTAAAATCAATCATTAAAGTGAAAAATCAACTAAAAAGCGTACGTTAGCATTTAGTTTCAACTATACTTTATTTTTTGATATTCCAGAAAGTCTAAATGTAATCTGTATCTAAATCTATTTGAAAGGAATTTACAAAAAATGAGAAAAAAAACTGATTTAATTCCTCTTATAACAACTTAAACCAATTTTTTGTATCGAAATTTTTTTTATAAAAATCAAAAAAATGGCAAAAAATGACTCAAAATAATCAAATTTGATTGAAACTGATTTTTGAGCTGAATTTTTGAATCAAAAATAATCGATTTTAAATTAAATCAAATTCTTTTTGGGGTTTGGTGGTGAAGTGGTAACACCTCCGCCTCTAAATCGAAAGGTCGGATGGTCGAAGCCCACCATGATCCGTGCTCGTTGCTTGATAACACAGCCCGAAAAATAGCTGGATAACACAGCCCAAAAGACCAAAAAAATTTCATGTATTTCTGAAGCAGTGCACAACTGCGGTTCTTCGTGAAGAGCTGTACAGCTCGTAAGCTGTTCCTTTCCTTCGTGGAGTAAATTAAGGTTAGGTCTGTGCTCTATTATATGTATGAAATCGATTGCAATCTGTTTCATGTCAGTACGGGTCATTTTAAAATTTCTTCTATTTTTGAAACCAATTAAACTGAAGGCTTGTTCAGCGATGCAAACTGCGTGCTCATCATCTCACTAAAAGATTTAACTGTTCCCTTAATTTAAACAACAATGACATCTAAGTGCATTGATTAAATTTTTTCAGATAATAAATTGTAGTAAGAGGTTCTGAATTGAAGTCCAACGTTGGCAAGTGAGAAAATGCCGCAAAGCATTATTGCTACTAAAACTGATACGAGAAAAATTTCTAAATTATCTCAACAACTGACATTGCTTTTACTTACCGTTTAATTAGCTTTAAATTGGATCATAATTTTTCCTTTAGCAATGCAGGGGAGCAAATAACAAATATGGAGGCAGGTCTAAGAAAAAAATAGACAAAAAGCTGAAAAAGGGAACGCGCGCCCACCGGCAAACGATTGCGAAAAAGGTTCAATTTTTATTTCAGGAAATGGAAACTTTGCGTTAACCGTCTGCTCTGGGATACTTTCTGCTCTTGGACCATCATGCTCAAGGCTAAAATTAAAATAATGTTCAATTAAGTTTAAAATACTGTTGGAATGATAGAAAAATGATATATTCGTTGTCTCGAATTCCGACTAATCAGAATTTCAGAAGAATAACTATAGAAATTTTTTCTATTTTAGTGCTATATGTCCCAGGCCCCAAAGGTTGCTGCTAGCGGCAGAAATTAGCAGAATTGGCACAATTTGGCTTATCGAGCAGATTATTTTATAGAGCAGCAGATAGAGCAGAAATTAAATCATACGGCAGAAGTTATCGATTTTTCTCCAAATCTTTTCAAAATTCTGAAATGAATGCTGAAATTCTATAGCAGGTTTCAGCCAGCAGCAATTCCTTTGGGACTGGCTATGAACATCTTAACGTAAGGAAATTTACCAATTTCAATCGCAATATTTTTTTCAAACAGGACATTGACGAGTGGCGAATGATTGCTCTGCTGCACTTAAAACTGACACGAGAAAAATAGTGAGTGGGAATGATTCTTAGACTAGAATGCCCTGTTGGATACATATAAATTTTGCTTCAAAAACGCGAAATACTGCATCGTGTTTTCCGATTTGGCGTCAAAATTAGAACAGTTATCTACTGAGTCTTGTAAAAGTATAAACTATTTCGTTTTTTTTTTCGGTTGGAGTAGTCTCTCGGCTAATATATTAAGCTAAGTTTTACTCTGGGGATCGGTCTTATCAAAAAAGTTCCCAGAACAGAAAAAACTCAAGTGCAGAGTAAACAAAATCTGATTGGTTCATAAGAAAAGACTGAGCAACTGTAAATGCATCTAGAACAATTCACAATTTTTGCCGGAACTAATCGCTCATCCTTTTGTGCACTTACAAGATTCATCTTCAGGAGTAAAAAACCTCAAACAAGTTTTTTTTTGTAAAACCAAGCGGCCATGCCTTAGCGATTGTTCGATTCCATATGAGTAGTTTTTTAAAACTATCATTCAAAGTAAAGTTTGAGCGGTTGAAAATTGAACTTCTTCTGTTAATTAGACCATTCTGCTCTTGTAACCATTCTGATCTTGGATCATTCCCCTCCGCAAAACAAGATATAAAAAAACTAATAAAAGCATAGTAGTAAAGAAAAAGTATGTGAATGTCTTAATCAAATATTCAGCAGCATGGGTACCTCAAAGCAAAAGAGAAAGCGAAAAAAAATTAACGCTGCAGAACAACTCTAAAGTTGTAATAACGACCAAAAATTAGCTACATGTCCCTAACTCCTCCTGTAACATCTAGTAAAAACTATTTCCCTCCCAATTAAAACAATTTTTTTAAATGATAGTTATTGAAGTGTAAGCTTTTACAGTAAATTGACTGTTTGTAGAAGTGCTGTCTGACAATTTTTTATTGTAATGAGGCCACAAGTGCCCGGATAAAGCACACGGCGCACAAATTAACTTGAAATGGGTGGAAAATCTTATTTTTATCC